TAGGTACACTCCTTAGAACAATCAACTATGGGAGATCAAAGGGCGGTATTTACAGAGAGAGACAGCTCAGAGGGCAGGGATGCATACGAAAGAAAGATACAGGGAACAGGTAACCAGAGGGAGGAATTCGGAAAAGAGCATTATGACATTATGACGATTGAAGTCAATGTCATCAAACAAAATGTGTATGAACTGTTGTATGGAAAATGAATTTATTCTGTAAACTTTCTCCCAAATCATAATTTTTTTAAAACAAAAAAGTGCTAAAAAGCAAAGATGTCACTTAGAGGACTAAGGTGCACCTGATCCAAGCCATGGTACTTTCAATCGCCTCATATGCATATGAAAGGTGGATAATGAACACAGGAGAATGAAGAACTGATGTCTTTGAATTATGGTGTTGGCAAACAATACTGAAAATACCATGGACTGCTGGAAGAACAAATCTGTTTTAAAAGAAGTACAGCCAGAGTGCTCCTCAAAAGTAAGGATGGAGAGCCTTCATCTCCTGTTCTTTGGACATGTTGTCAGGAAGGCACAATCCCTAGAGAAGGACATCATGGATTGACACAATAGTTGAGCAACAATAGTCTCAAACATAACAATGACGTGAGGATGGTGCAGGACTGTGCAGTGTTTTGTTCTGTTGAACAAAACAGGGTCACTATGAGTCAGAACCAACTCGATAGCAGCTAACAACATTATCTACTAGAAAGGATTCAAGCTAGTTATTGTTGCATCATTGTGAGGTGAGAGTATGCCAAATCCATGACATTCATCCTTTCATCACTTGGAACTTAATAGAATCAACATGGACTAAGACTTCTATCAATCATTGACATTCAAAGTAATAATTTGTGTTTCAAGAGACTGTGCATGGAAAATCTAGTTAAATATATTTTCTTAGGCAATTACTGACCTTAAGATTACAAAGACAGACACATACCTTCATCAAAATTCCCAGCACCTTTTATATACCATAATAACTTAGGGTAAATTAAACTATTCAAGTATAACTAAAAAAGAATCAAAGTAGGAACAGAAGTACAGAGTTCTAGGAAAAGAACGATAGTAGTCTTCAGAATTTTGCTGCATGTAAAAATTGCAATAAAATAAATACACTGATTATTAAAGTTTATGATCTAAAAAGAACTGTGTTAGAGGTCCCACAGTATCTATTAATTCCTCTATTCCTCAGTAATACAATCTCTCTGTATTTTTGTTGGACACACTGACTGAGTAAAGGCTACATTTTGCCAGCCTCCTCTGCAGCTGGGTGTGACCATGTGACTAAATTCTAGACAATGGGATGAAGATAAAAAGTAGTGTGTTCTCTTTTTGTTGTTGTTGCTGTTAGGCATTGTCAACCCTATGTACAACAGAACAAAACACTGCCCAGTCCTGTGTCAGCCTCACAATCTTTGCTATACCTGAGCCCATCGTTGCAGCCACTGTGTCAATTCATCTCATTGAGGGCCTTCCCCTTTTTTGCTGACTTTCCACTCTACCAAGCATGATACTTTTCTCCAGGAAATAGTCCCTTCTGACAACATGACCAAAGTAGATCAGATGAAGTCTGGCCATTCTCACTTCCAAGGAGCATGCCAGCTGAACTTCTTTCAGAACAGATTTGTTTGTTATTTTGCCAGTCCATGGTACTTTCAGTATACTTGGCTAACACAACTCAAAAGCATCAACTCTTCTTCAGTCTTCCTTGTTCACTGTCCAGGTCTCACATGCATAGGAGGTGAATGAAAATACCATGGTTTGGGTTAAGTGCACCTTATTCTTCAAGGAGACATCTTTGCTCCTCATCACGTTAAAGAGGTCTTTTGCAGCAGATTTGCCCAGTGCAATACATCGACTGCTGCTTCCATTGGCGTTGAATGTGGAACCAATTGATATGAAATCTTTAACAACTCAATCTTTTCTCCATTTATCCTGATGCTGCTTATTCTTCCAGTTGTGAGGATTTTCGTTTTCCTTATGCTGAGATATAATCCATATTGCAAACTCAAGTCTTCAATCCTCATCAGTAAGTGCTTCAAGTCATCATCACTTCCAGCAAGCAAAGTTATGTTATCTGCATATCACAGGTTGTTAATGAGTTTTCCTCCAATCCTGATGACACACTCTTCTTTATACAGTCCAGGTTCTCAGATTATTTGTCCAGCATACAGACTGAATAAGTATGGTGAAAGGATACAACTCTGACGCACTCCCTTCCTGATTTTAAACCATGCAGTATTCCCTTGTTCTGTTCGAACAACAGCCTCCTGGTCTATGTACAGGTTCCTGATGAGCACAATCAAGTATTCTGGAACCCCTATTCTTCTCAATGTTATCCATAATTTGTTATGATCCATACATTCAGATGTTTTTACAGTCAACAAAACACAAGTAATTATCTTTCTGGTATTCTTTGCTTTCAACCAAGACCCATCTGACATCAGCAATGATATTTCTTGTTCTACATCCTCTTCTGAATCCAGCTCGCATTTCTGGAAGTTCTCTGTCAATATACTGCTGCAACCATTTGTGAATTATCTTCAGCCAGATTTTACTTCAGTGTGATATTAATGATATTATTCAATAATTTCCACATTCTATGAGATCACCTTTCTTTTAAATGAGTACAAATATGGATCTTTTCCAGTCAGTTGGCCAAGTAGCTGCCTTCCAAATCTCTCGGCATAGCCAAATGAGTGCCTCCAGCAGGGCATCCATTTGTTGAAACAACTGAATGGGTATTCCGCCAATTCCTGGAGCCTTGTTCTTCACTAATTCCTTCAGTGCAGCTTCAACTTCTTCCTTCAATACCATTGGTTCTTGATCATACGCCACCTCCTAAAATAAATGAACACTGACCAATTCCTTTTGGTACAGTGACTCTGTGTATTCCATCCATCTTCTTTTCATGCATCCTGCATCATTCAATATTTTGCCCATAGATTCTTTCAGTATTATAATTCAAGGCTTGAATTTTTTCTTCAGTTCTTTCAGCTTAAGAAATGCTGAGCATGTTCTTTCCTTTTGGTTTTCTAACTCCAGGTCTTTGCACATTTCATTATAATAATTGACTCTGTCTTCTCAAGCTGCTCTTTGAAATCTTCAGTTCAGCTCTTTTATCTTGTCATTTCTTCCATTTGCTTTAGCTGCTTTCCGTTGAAGGACAAGTTTCAGAATCTCTTCTGACATCCATTTTGGTCTTTTCTTCCTTTCCTCTCTTTTTAATGACCTTTTGCTTTCTTCATGGACGATGTTCTTAATGTCATCCCATGATTCCTCTGCTTTTCAGTCACTGGTGTTCAATGCATCAAGTCTATTCTTTAGATGGTCTCTAAATTCAGGAGAGATAGAATTAAGGTCATTTTTGGCTCTCGTGGACTTGTTTTGTCTTCAGCTTCAACTTGAACTTGCATATGAGAAGTTGATGGTGTGTTCTATAGTCATTTCCTGGTGTGGTTTAGGCTGAAGATATTGAGCTTCTAGCTTCTCCATCTCCTCTTTCCACAGACGTAGTCAAATTTGATTACTGTGTACTCCATCTGGCAAAGCTCACATGCATGGCCATCATTTGTGTTGTTGAAAAAAAGGTATTTGCAATGAATAAGTTATTGGTCCTGCAAAATTCTATCATGTGAGCTCCAGCATTATTTCTATCTCCAAGGCCATATTTTCCAACTACCAGTGATTCTTCTTTGTTTCCTACTTTTGCATTCCAATCACCAGTGATAATCAACGCATCTTGATTACATGTTCAGTCAATTTCAGAATGCAGAAGTTGGTAAAAATCTTCAATTTCCTCATCTTTGGCTTTGGTGGTTGGAGCATAAATTTGAATAACAGTAGTATTAACTGGTCTTCCTTGGAGGCAAAAGGATATTATCCTATCACTGACAGCACTGTACTTCAGAACAGATCTTGAAACATCTTTGTGACAATGAATGCCATGCCATTTTCTCTTTAACTTGTCATTCCCGGCATAGTAGATCATATGGTTGTCTGATTCAAAATGGCCAAAACCAATCCATTTCAGATCACTAATGCCTAGGATATTGATCTTTCTGAGTTCCATTTCATTTTTTGACAACTTACAATTTTCCTAGATTCATACTTTGTACACTCACATTCTGATTATTAACGGATGTTTATAGCCGTTTCTTCTCATTTTGAGTTGTGCTACATCAGCAAATGGAGATCCCGTAAGCTTTATTCCATCCACATCATTAAGGTCGGCTCCACTCTGAGGAAGCACCTCTCACCCAGTTACCCAGTCGTACTCTGAGTGCCTTCTGACCTGAGGGGGTCATCATCTTCTAGCACTATATCAGACAATGTACCTGGATTATTCATAAAGTTTTCCAGTTATCAGACAATATTTCAGTGCTACTCACAAGGTTTTCACTGGCCAATTCTTTGAGAAGTGAATGGCCCCTTCCTTTTTCTGAGTCTGTCTTAATCTGGAAGCCCACTGAAACATGTCCACTATGGGTGACCCTGATGGCTATGAGCCTCCAGCCTTCCAACACCACACACGCCACCACAGTAGACAAACTGACAGTTCTCTTGCTAAGGAGAACTTTCAAAAGGGAATAGTCCTCTCTCCTTCTTAGTCTTCCTATTTACTAAAATATGTTGGTGAGGGCTAATACTAGAGTAGCCAATTTCTAAAGATAGCAAAGCATTAAGTCCTAGGCCTTGCTAACTATGGAGTTACAATAATACCCAGCTATGCCTACATATGCATGAAAGGAAAAATAAATTTCATCTGAAGTCTTTCTTATTTTGTTATTTTTTGTCACTTACAGTCAAACCTAATCCTAATTAATACTAATATAAAATAATAAAAAAGTGATTTCTGAATGGTAGAAAATTTTATTTCATCAAAGTCTAAAAAGGCTGTTTAAGATATTAATATAGCTAAAAATCATCAGGTGTAGTACAGAAAATATAACTGTAACATCACATACATAGTCAAACAACAAAAATTTACTAACCTGGGATGTCCTGGTATATTCCTCATAAAGCCTGTCATACTCTTTACTCTTTTCCTGATACTGAGAGTGGTATTCTTGCAGTTTTTTACCTACTGCATCAATGTTATCTTCTTTCACCAACTGATCCTACACAGGTAAACAAGAAAAGTAGAGAATATTAATTCTGATGTGAATTTTTCCACATCTACTTATTTTAAATTGTTTCTAATTCTACTGTAGAAGTTTAAGCCACTGGTAGTAATACCAAAACATATCAATACGAAGCATGCAAAATCCTTTTGTTAATACTGTATCAGTTTTTAGAGTACATCAAAATAGTTAACACTTTAAAAATTAATAAGCATAAATGGGAAACAGAAAGAGAAACATACTTTTTAAACTGTTTAATTTTTGTTGTTCAGAATAGACACAGCAGAATACACACCAATTCAATAATTTCTACACATACAATTCAATGATATTGAATTCTTCAAATTGTGCAACCATTATCATCCTTCTTTTCTAAATTGTTCCTCCTCCACTAACATTAACTCATTGTCCCCTAAGTTTCCTACCTAATCTTTAGAGTTGTTTTTATCAATTTGATCCCCACTGCACTTGTTCCAGGGCCGATTTGTTCACTCTTCTGGCAGTCCATGGTATTTTCAGTATTCTTCAACACCACCACAATTCAAAGGCATCAACCTTCCTTCAGTCTTCCTTATCCACTGTCCAGTTTTCACATGCATATGAGGCAATTGAAAGTAGCATGGCTTGGGTTAGGCACACCTTGGTCTTCAAAGTGGCATCCTTGTTCCTTAACACTTTAAAGAGGTTTTTTGTAACAGGTCCGCCCAGTGCAATACAACGTTTGATTTCTTGACTGCTGCTTCCATAAGTGTTGACTGTGGATCCAAGTAAAATGAAATCCCTGACAACCTCAATCTTTTCTCCATTTATTGTGATGCTGCTTATTGATCCAGTTACAAGGACTTCAGTTTCCTTTACATTGAAGTATAATCCATCTTGAAGACTGCAGTCTTTGTGATCTTCATCAGTGAGTGCTTCAAGTCATCTTCACTTTCAGCAAGCAAGGTTATGTCATCTGAATATTCCAGATTGATAATGAGGCTTCCTCCAATCTTAATGCTGTGTTTTTCTTCATACAGTCTAGCTTATCAAATTATATGCTCAGAAGGCAGACTGAACAGGTATGTTGAAAGGATACAACCCTAATGCACACACTTCCTGATTTTAAACCATACAATATCCCCTTGTTCTATTCCAATGACAGCCTCCTGGTCTGTGTACAGGTTGCCCATGAGCACAATTAAGTGTTTTGGAATTCTCATTGTTTGCAAGGTTATCCATCATTTGTTATGATCCACACAGTCAAATGCCTGTGCACAGTCAATAAAACACAGGTAAATATCTTTCTGGTATTCTTTGCTTTCAGCCAAGATCCAGCTGACATTATCAATGATATCCCTAATTCCACGTCCTCTTCTGAATCTAACTTGAACTTCTGGCAGTTCCCTGTCCATATATTGCTGCAACCATTTTTAATTCTTTTCAGCAAAATTTTACTTGCCTGTAATATTAATGATATTGTTCAATAATTTCTACATTCTGTGGATCACCTTTCTTTTAATGGGCAAAAATATTTATCTCTTCCAGTCAGTTAACCAGGTAGCTGTCTTCCTAATTTCTTGGTATAAACAAGTAAGCACCTCCAGTGCTGCATACACGTGTTGCAATATCTCAATGTGTATAGTCCATCAATTCCTGGAGCCTTGTTTTTTCCCAATTCCTTCAGGGGAGCTTGGACTTCTTCCTTCAACACTATTTGCTCTTGATTATATGCTACCTTCTGAAATGGCTGAACCTCAACCAATTCTACTTGGTACAGTGACTCTATTTATTTCTTCCACTCTTCTTCTGATGTTTCCTGCATCATTCAACGTTTTGCCCATAGAATTCTTCAATATTACAATTCGAGGCTTGAATTTTTCTTGAGTTTTTCAAGCTTGAGAAATGCTGAGGGTATTATTCTCTTTTGGTTTTCTAACTCTAAGCCTTTGCACATTTCATTATAATACTTGACTCTGTCTTCTCAAGCTGCCCTTTAAATCTTCTGTTCAGCTCTTTTATTTCATCATGTCTTCCCTTCCCTTCAACTATTCTGTTCAAAAGCAAGTTTCAGAGTCTCTTCTGAGATCTATTTTGGTGTTTTCTTCCTTTCCTGTCTTGTTAATGACATTCTGCTTACCTCATGTATGATGTTCTTGATGTCATCCCACAACTCATCTGGTCTTTGGTCACTGGTGTTAAACGTGTCAAATCTATTCTTCAAATGGTCTCTAAATTCAGGTGGGATATAATCAAGGTCGTATTTGGCTCTCATAGTCTTGTTTTAATTTTCTGCAGCTTCAACTTAAACTAGCATATGAGCAATTGATGGTCTGCTCCACAGTCAGCTCCTGGCCTTGTTACTGTTTTTGTTTTGCTTTGATGCTCTTGTGTTTTTTTTAACTTTTTATTGTAATTTGGGTGAAATTTTACAAAGTAGATTCATTTTATATTCAACAGTTCATACACATTTTGTTTTGTGACACTGGTCACAATCCCCGCAGTATAATATCTCACCTCCCAATTCCTCCCCATGGCTACCCTTTCCCTGTGTCCTTCTTGCCTAAGCATTCCTACTTCCCTACCTTTTTTCCTTCTGCCCTTCTGATCTCCCATGGTTGATTGTTATAAGGAGTATATCTCCCGAGTGTACAAGTCCAGCTCATAGGCCTATCTCTTATTTGGCTGAGAGTGAAGCCATGGGAGTGAGTTCAATTCCAAGTCTGAAAGATGACTGAGGACCATAGTCTCAGGGGTTTCACCAGTCTCCATCAGACTAGCAAGTCTGGTCTTTTTTATGATTTTGAGTTTTGTTCCATATTTTTCTCCCATTCTATACAGGATCTTCAATTTTTATCCCTTTCCAAGTGGTTGGCATTGGTAGCCAGGCACTATCTACCTCTGGTCTCAGGGTGTTTTGATTAGTTTCCACTGCCGCTCTAACAGAAATACCACAGTTGGATAGCTTTAACAAACAGGAGTTTGTTCTCTTACAGTTTTGGAAGCTAGAAGTATGAGTTCATAGTGCCAGCTTAGGGGATGGGTGAAAGCCCCTCCACCTTGGGCTTCAGCTCTGCCTCTTGCTCCCAGCCCCCTGGAGCTAGAGGTATCTCTTCACTCAGGCAGCTGCTGGCTATGAGGCTAACAAGCCCAATGTCGACAAATAAAATGTCACAGTCCAATATTACCAAATGACATAGCAGGCCACTAACTCAAGTCCAGAGTTAGTCCCAAGATCAGCAGGAAACATGACAGGCTGCTAAATGAAGACTCAGCTACATGCAGGGTCCAAGCATGCCAAAAAGCTGTGGAGAGCATTTCCAAAGCTTCTCCTTATATCCTGGAAATAGACCATATCCTTAAGACAGCTACTCAGCTGCTTCAATAGATTCCACCATGGAGTTGATTTCCAGCCTCATCATGGGCAACAACTACATCCAGCTGCCCAGCCACTTAAAACCAAGCCCACTCAAGTTGACACATAACCTTAACTATCACACAGGATCGTATAGGTTGAGGTTCTCAGGGTCTATTAGTGAACTAACTTGTTCCATGAGTCTTTTATGTTCTTCACTCTTCCGTGCTTCAGAGGAGGAGAGAATAATGGTTGCCACCCAAAACTCACGAGGTTTTAAGATCTCAGTTTCACCAAAGTAAGATGCAGAACAGTATTTTCATAGACCATATTGTGCCAATTGACCTTGATGTTCCCCATGACTATGGTCTTCAGCCCGCATGCCCAGCAACCCTCTCCCTCAGGGTGCTTATTTGTGGCTAAAAAGTTATCCTAAATTTGCCTCCTGTTACATTTCAACTGCATATGGACATTCTTACAACATATACAAATACATATATAGGAATATCATCTGCCAAACCTATGTATGGTGGTAGGTATATTCTCATTTGCCTACCCATACCTGTCTACCTATGTACCTACCATAGACTACTGTTTGCTGTTATTGATACTGCAGTATTTTATATATAATAGTATTTGTCCTGGTCTTATTTTGACTGATATTGAGCTTCTCCATCACCTTTTTCCACAAATGTAGTCAATTTGATGCCTGTGTATTCTACCTGGCAAGGTCCCACATATATAGCTGCCATTTACGTTGTTGGAGAAAGGTATTTACAATGAATAAGCTATTGGTCTTGCAAAATTCTATCATGCGATCTCTGATGTCATTTCAATCACCAAGGTCGTATTTTATAACTGCCCATGACTATTCTTTATTTACAACTTTTGTATTCCAATCACCAGTAATTATCAATACACCCTGATTGCATGTTCAGTCAATTTCAGACTGCAGAAGTGAATCTTCAATTTCTTCACCTTTGGGTTTAGCGATTGGTGGGAAAATCTCAGTAATAGTGGTATTAACTGGTTCCTTGTAGGCATATGCATATTACCTTATCACAAACAGCATTGTACTTCAGTATAGATCCTGAAATGTTCATTCCAATGATGAATGTGACACCATTCCTCTTCAATTTGTCATTCCCAGCATAGTAGACCATATGATTGTGCAGTGTAGTAAATTACTTAGTATGGCTTTTCTACCCATAAGTCATTGTAAACTCAGTGGTGGAATGAGCAACTGAGGAGCTGATTGTAAATGTTATCCAAGTGGAGTATTTCTGTTGGGCGTGGCACAATATAATGTTCTGGGAGGTGCCCACTCTCTCTCAGGTGCTTAGAGTTCTGATGCTATGATTG